GGGGGGAGGGACTTTTAAGCACTGGGATGCAAATTTGACAAAGGCCAAATTGTGGTGACCTGGTTGGTGAACACAAGAGGATCTGCCAGTCGAGGCGTAAAGCAGAAGTCCCACATGTGGTGGAAGGGGATAAAGTCCCTGTAGTGTGCCTGAAGAACGTATTGGGGAAGATGGGCTGGGTGAACCCTGCCTCTGGCAAAGGCAAACCCATCCACAGGCTTGCTTCTGTTCAAGGACCTGGGTGCACCTGGTGGGCGATGCAGGAGGACGGGGAAGTCTGATGTGTACCACAAGGGGACTTAATTTTAGGGGAGGACAGCCAGTGAATTAAATTGTGTGTTGTTAAGTAACTGCTGGGCATGATGTAGATGGTATGGAATAAGGGGTGGGCTGTCCTGGTTCGGCTGGGATAGGGTTGATTTTTCACCTGCAGTAGGGAGGGAGGTCCAGCCGGGCAGCAGCCGGACCAGCCGGGAGTTATTCGCTGCCATGCTCACACCGTGCCGGGAGCAGCGAGGCTGGGCACAGGGCTGGACAGTCCAGGGCCAAGCAGGGCTGGGGGCAGGGGAGGTTTCTGGGGCCAGGGTGTGCAGCTGTAGTTTGTGCTGTCCGGAGCCTGTGCCGTGATCTGCTTCCTTTGTACAATTTGTTTTCTGTTGATATACCCATTGTTCCTGCTGCTGTTTGCTGTTCCTTCTGCGTTCCTGTAGTAAATTCTCCTCATCTCAACCCACGGGGTTTTGTATTTTTCTCCGTTTTCTCCCTCTGGTGCCGGGGGTTGGGGGCGATCGAGCAGCCACGTGGTGGCTGGCTCCTGCCTGGGGCACCACACTCTGCTACTGCTAATGCTCCGTCCACACTGCCCTGCCAGGTCTGCCGTTCCCCTCCAGCAAGGCTTGCCTGCTCAACCCCCATGGTGTGCCCCTGGTGGGACCCCTCCCCATGCACAGTAACACGACATCCACACCTCCACAAGAACATCTTTTACTCCAAACGCAAGGCAACGTCGGCGCTGAGAACGGCAGCAGAGTGGTGGCAGGGTTCCCCACCTCTCCCCAGCACCGCACCAGGACCTAGACCACAGCTCTGCCTTTGTCCAGAAGCAACCCTCCCGGGCACAGAGCTGTGGGGCCACAGCTGGTGTCACCCAAGGGGGTCCCACAGCATCCTTCTCTCCAACCCCCATGGGAGGCAGTGGCCAGCAAAGGCCCCGTGTTTAGCATCATGTCACACGTCCACAGTCCTGGGGCGTAGACCAAGTCCCAGGCAGCAGCATCCAGGGCACAGAACACTCCAAATCCAACACACCTCAGGCACAGATCAGTAGCTCTTCCCCCAGCGCAGCAATCCCCTTGGCAGCAGCTCCATGGGGGGAGCAGGGACGAGGGCAGCTGCTTTTTCCCTGGCTCAGCTTTGGGGCACATCACCGCTGCACAGTGGAACAGGCTCACATCTGCGTGGTGTCCTGGCCTGCCGGTGCTGGCCGCATCCCCTCCAGCTGGTGGAGGACCTCATTTATGCTGGGTCGCTCCTGGGGGTTCAGTGTCATCATGGAGGAGAGCAGGTTCTGCAAGGCAGCCGAGTACCTGGAAGAAAGATGGTCAAAGAGGGCTCCATGTGGTGCACAGCACAGGGAGCTGCCCGGGAGCAGGGTCACCCTCCACAGCTCCTCACCTCGTTGTGGGAGGCATGGTGATGGGGTTCTGCACTGCCAGAGCCACGCTGTCACCCTTCTGGAAGATGGCATCATAGGGGCCCTCCCCAAACATCATGCAGTACAGCATGCAGCCTAGGGACTGGAACAGGGCAGAGTCAGGGCAGCCCTGCAGCAGGGGGTGGGGGGCTGAGGGGCTGGATCCTTACCCAGATATCTGTGCGCTCATCTATGACACACTGGCTCGGCACCGTGAAAAGCTCAGGGGCACGGTAGGAGATGGTGCAGCGCTGGGCAGCCCAGTCCTGCAGAGAGAAGTATGATGGTGGGGACGAAGGGCTCGGGGCATGTATGGGCTGGTGGGGAGATGTCCCAGAGCACCCACCTGCACGGCCATGGCCTTCTGAGAGCTGTTGACTTCTATGCGAGCTTGGTTCATGGAACCCAGGTCCATCAGCACAGGCTGGTCATCTTCATCCAGCAGCACGTTGGTGGGTTTGAGGTCCCTGTGGGGATGGATGTTACTGAATGTCTGCTGCGCCCCCTGCCAACCTCCCCCAGCCAGGGTTGCTAGCCCCAACCTGTGTGCATAGCCCTTGCTGTGGATGGCCTGCAGCCCGCAACAGATGCCATGGAGGATGAAGAGGATCCGCTGCTCTGGCATGAAGGTCCCTTTCTCTCGCAGTGCTTGCACCTCACTCCAGAGTGTCCCCCCCTGGCAAATGCAAGCAGCCAGTTTCCAGTGCCACTCCCAATGGTAATGGAGAGAGGGAGGCCAGGGAAGCCCCTCTCACCTTCACGTAGGGCAGGAGGAGCCAGGCTTCATGCTTGGCACCCTTCTCCACCATGCAGTGGGCCACCAGGCGCAGGATGTTGGGGTGGTCAAAGAGGCCATGCATCTCCACCTCGTGCAGGGCAGCCTGACGATCCTCCTTGTCATGGCACAGGATGCGCTTCAGGGCGTAGAAACGCCCATCCCGAAGCCCCTCCACCAGGTCCACGTAGCTGAAGCCCCTGTGAGGAGCCAAGCACGGCATGGGCAGGGTGGCACACTGCTGCGCCAGGGCCTTGTGCCCAGCCACAACTGTGAACACCCAGGGGAGAGGGCAGAGGGCAGCAGGTGCCTGTGCACCTCTCCACGGGAACCCTTCAGGCATGCACATTCCTCCCACTTTGGGGGCACCTGCCAGGCACCCAAAGCATTCCCCTACTGCATGAACAACCCCACTGGCTCACTGGCTCAATCACCCTCACTCCTACAGCTCCACGCACACACTCCTGGCCATGATCAACACCTGCCACCCAGCATGAGAATCCTCCTCCATGCACGTGCTCAAGGGTAAAACCCTATGCTCAAGCACCTCTCCCCACCATTCCCAAGTATCCCCTCCCATGCCCAAACACTGCCTGTGCTCAAGCATCTCCCCACAGCGTCTGAGCAGCCCCACACACGCAAGCATACCCCCTCCACCTGAGCATCACTCACACGCCTGAGCGTCACCTTCACCCCTTGAGCATTCCCCCGTGCCCGAACACCCCCCGTGCCCGACCATCCCCAACATCCAAGTACCTCGCACAACCCAACTATCACCCCCATCTCCGAGCAATCCCCCCCC